AATAACTCTCTGAATGTACTTCTTGCACACAATTAGTGCCCTTATAAAAGAAAAGGCAACAGGGCCGTTAGTTCAAAAATCGAAGAGGCACCACTCTCTGGATTCCGAAGAGGCACCACTTTCCACACGTAACATCAGCTCCTCGGGTACCACATATAACTTTGCCAAAGATCTCTGACAAAGTTTAGACACATAAATTTTGAAGGTCCAACTACCTTATTATTACCCATAAGGGTAAAAGAATAGCACCACTGCTTGATAACTAGAACGTCTCAATGTGTGTCAACCTTCGTGCTCCGTGGCAAGGCAGACTGGCAAAAATGCCCAACCTTTACTCACATTCAAGAAAACACTCCCAACAAGATTGCTTGCTCAAAAATTGAAGAGGCACTGCCCTTCGAATCTCGAGAGCCAGACTCCCAACAGGATTACTTTCTCAAAAATCGAAGAGACACCGCTTTCCGAATCTCGAGAGCCAGACTCCCAACAGGATTACGTGTTCAAAAATCGAAGAGGCATTGTCCTCCGAATCTCGAGAGCCAGACTCTCAACAGGATTACTTTCTAAAAGATCGAAGAGACACTGTTCTCCTAATCTCAAGAGTCATACTCCCAACATGATTGCTTTCTCAAAAATCGAAGAGGCACAGTTCTCTGAACCTCAAGAGCCAGATCCCCGACAGGATTGCTGTTCGAAAACCGAAGAGGCACCGCTCTTTGAACTTCGAGAGCTAGATTTCCTTAGATAAAGCTTGTCTGCAATCTTTACACACAACATCAGCTTTCCAGATACCACATACCACTTTTTCAAAGTGCTCTGACAAAGTTAAAACATGTAAAGCTTGCAGCTCCCACTACATTACTATGACCAAGAAGGGTAAAAGAATAACACTACTACTTGTTGTTAGGGAGACTCCTATATATGGCGACCTCCATCCTCCACAGCCAGGCAGACCTGCAAATAAAAAAAAATGCTCAACTTTTCTTCACATCTGAGAGGGTACTCTCAGCAAAGTCTCTCAAAATACTCAGCTTCTTTTCCTCCCGATAATACATCTGCAAACAAGCCACACCAGAGCAAGAGTATCTCATATCATCAGGGTTAAAAGTAAGAGTATCCCATATCATGCTTTTTCCTGTCTTTTTCTTTGGCCTTGTTCTTACCTGCAAGACAAGGAGAAAGAGAACAATCAGTCAGCACTTGGAATCAAGCTTCCAGTCAGGAACTGACTGCCTGGAACCCCTTGCCTGATTACTTACTTGACATTGCTCTCGAGTACTCATCTTCAACATCTTATGCTTCTAGAGAAGATACCACATATGCCTAAGGAACAGATAGAGTAAGTGAGAATGATACAATGAAGCATGTGGAGACAAGCATAACAGAACACGTGCCGATATATCCACTACTTTGTCAATAGCAAAACTATCCCATATCATCAAGGTTGAACGCACTTTTGATTTGATGGACTTGTTTTGACCCTCAAATTCTTGAGTCGGCCTTATACTCTAGAGGAAACTAGAAAACCCTCCAGCCTAGTTCAAGAATAAGCATGTGGAAAGTTACTTCTTCAAAAGCAAAGATATCTCATATCATCTCTTCTCCATTTGCTTCTCATTATCCTTGTTGCTGTTTACGACATAAGGAGAAGAAGAACAATAAACCGGAAGCCGAAGTCGAACCTCTAATCCAGGTTGCTTACTTAGAAGTCTGATTGCTTACCTTGTATGTTGCCTCCTTCGGCAAATCTCCTAGCCCGGTGACTGGGGGACTCCTACTATAGGGTTTGTATCGCACTTGACCATGCCCAAAACTACAAGTAAGCTTTAAGTGAAATTGATACATTACCTTGTGCATCTTCATCGGTTAAAGATACCATCCCTGGATGGAGGAAAAGTACTTCCAGAGAAGATGCCACATCTACATATGAGACAGATAAGGCAAGTGAAAATGATACCACACTTCGGTACTTAGAAGTTTCGTGATTACTCAATCGCTTGGATTTTGCAAGTCCCCAACCGAGGAGTATCCCTCACTCGGGAACTTAGGGAGCACTGTTTGTACCATACTTGACCAATCCTGAAACTACTGAGCACCGGTCAATGTTATACCGTCAATGACCCAGAAGAGTTTCCTTCCAACCAGGAGGCCAATCACAGCACGACACGTGTTGACATCAGAAGTCAATCATAGCGCGACATGTGTCAACATCAGAAGCCAATCACAACACGACACGTGTCAATGTCAGAATGAAACTAGAAACTCTCTTCTATAAAAGGAGATCATTCTCCCACAATATTTCCTAATGTCATTTGTACTAAATCATTCACTAGTAATCACAAAATGAGAGCTTGAACCTATGTACTTGTGTAAACCTTTCACAATTAATGAGAACTCATCTACTCCGTGGACGTAGCCAATCTGGGTGAACCACGTACATCTTGTGTTTGCTTCCCTGTCCCTATCCATTTACATACTTATCTACACTAGTGACCGGAGCAATCTAGCGAAGGTCACAAACTTAACACTTTCTGTTGTACCAAAGTCCTCACTAATTTTGTGCATCAACATACCCCACATTTGATTTTTCAATTAAAAGTTATCTTAATACACCCCACATACTTTCTCATAATACCCTTACACCCTACATTCTCATACATCTAATATTTTCCACATACACACCACATTCTTCAAATCTTATAATACTCATTTTTCAATTTTTATAATTAAATTGTCTTAAGATTAAAACCCTAACATTCTCTAAAAAGAGAAGTCTACAATCCGGTCTGTTGAGACTGAGTTTCATTGGGACATCACAGCTAATCTCATTTTCTCTGTCTCTTAAGCCTTTTGCTAGCAAAAAAGGATTTATGCTAAAAAATGGCAACTGGGAGGAACCTATTAGAACAAAAGTAAACCACAGAAGATGAATAAGAATGGAACAGACTTTGTTGGCCTCCTATGAAATTGGGTAGTATGGAAAGTAAAAGCAGGCTTACATAATTACTGATGTCGTTGAATAATTAAAACAATGACAAATATGAAATTTTACCTCATGTGAAGCTTCCGAAATATTGATATCATGTTCTATTCGTTATTTTTTTTTCTCAATCAACATGTTTATAATTTCAATAGTTAGAATTTTATTCAACAATGGAGTGGATGGTGAAAGGGGTTTTGATAGTTGAAGAAGATAAATAATACGTTAAAAGTAATTTGAGGTGTATTTAGAAATTTCTTATTTTCTTTAAACCTCATAAGGTCGAAATTGTCATTGCATAGTAGGTTACATAAAACACTTAATATTAAATTTTAATATGTGGTGGATTTAACATTACGTGAAATGCTAATATAAAAAGCCAATAGATTTTCGTGTCCCTTTACACTTCCTCTCCTCAATCTTCACGCCCCACTCTCTTCTCAATTCCATTCTCTCTCTCTCTCAATCCTCCCGTCTCTCTCCTCTCTGTCCCTTTCCCAATCCAACCAAACCTCTGTCACTTACATTTTCCCCAATTTTTCCTATTTCCTTATCTCTCTCTGGATTCTTCTTTGGCTTCTTCGAGGAGGTCTCGCCGCATCTCACTTCCTGGTCACAAATCTCGACTTTCCTTCTCTAATAATCAATGGACCTTTTTTCTACGTCTTGGCGCCGCCTCCATCATCAACTTCACCTCCGTTTGCTTGTACTCGATCCAAGATCTACTCATTTAGACTAGGCGCCTACTCGTGTGTTCTTGCTTGACTAGCCGATGGCACACCATGCATACTTAACTTGAGATTTAGTCGTGGTTGCTCCAAGAGCGATGGGTTAGTTTTTTTCCTTTTTGTTGACGGGTAATTTTTTTGTTTAATTTTTTTTGTGGCCAAAATGGATTAATCATCATCGTGGTCATAGGATACTTGCGTGATGACCCCTGTGGTAAAAAAATTAGGAATTAAACCCCTGTGGTCAACACCGTTAATAAATTTAGCCAAGAAGTAAAGTTTCTATTAAAGATCTGTTAATTGGATAGAATTGTATTTTCATGTCCACTAACAAAAAAACCATCCTAGCATTGCTGATAAACTACACCCCTACATCTTTTACCGATCAACAACGTGAACTCTAGTACCATCGATGGTTGCCGCTTCTCTCAATCTTGTCATCTTCTCTCTCTTTCTCCTCTGTCTCCCTGGTTCCCTCTCTCATCTTGCTCATGGTACAATCCCCGAATACAAATCAGCATTCAATTTTTCAAACAAATTAACTCTTTCAATCTCCTTTCTACTGTTTTTGCAATGAACACTTTGTGAACTTTGTTGTAGTTCTGTGTCGATGATTTGATTTTTCCCAAAATTTGACTGATTAAAATCTGCAGTATTTCTAAAGCTTCTGCACATTTGGTAGGATAATGCTCAAACTGCTTGCAATCAAAATAATCAAAAACCAAAAACCCAAAAAGCACCAAATGTATCAAAGGTAAGGACTAAGAAAGAACAAAAAATCTCGTTGCCAAGTCGACGAAGAAGTCTTCATGAAAGAGATTAAGAACTCTATTGAGCTCCTATATAAGGAGGAGGGAGACAGAGAGGTTAGACCAAATCCACCGCCGACAGAGAACCAAACTCTGAGAATGCGGCAATGGGTTCTGTCGAAATGGAAGTGAGATTGGTTGAAATCCCAGAACTTGAAGTCCCAGTAGCAGCAAGATTTGGGAATTTTGTTCGTGCTTTAGAATTGGGAACGTCATGAGGGTTTTAGCTAAGCTATTGGGATGCTACTAACTATGAAATGAGCATTGTATCCTCACATATGAGACTCACGTGCATGCTACTAACAGATGAATAACAGAAGTTTTAATTTTGGCTATAAATCTGAATTTTTTTTATCATAGGGGCTATCTTCCGAATATCTTATGACCACGAGACCATTTATCCGATTAGGCCTTTATTTATTTTTTAAAAAAATTTGAATTTTCGATTTAATTATTTGCCTTATTTAATTTCTAGGCTCTTGTACGAAAGGGGCGAAAAACTAGTACTCTTGGAAAGGATTTGGCGAAATTCCTATTACCTCCAAACCCGTGAATTCCAGCTGATTTTTCTCCCTTCCAGCTTGATATTTTAGCGGATCAGGATTTAGGTTGCTCTCGGTTCTATGGACTTCATTGATGATTTAGCATCTCGAAGTTTGGGTTCTTACCAATTTCAGTGTCGAAGATATTATTATAGATAGCAGGGTTTGTGTTCGACTATAATCTGGCTGAACTCATAAGCTCATATTTGTAGTGATGGAGGATATAGGGTTGTCTAGACAAGCTTGGAAAACACATTTATTCTCGATCGCAAACTGCAATCGGTGGGTGTGGAGATAAAATCGGGATGTTTGTAGAGCGGCATTAGCCGATGGTGTGCAGTGGGTGCACCAGGACAGGGAGGCTGTTGATCCTGTTGTTGATTTATTGGCGGGACTACGTCGTAAGAGGTTTTCGATCCTTTATCGGGTCGGGTTCTGCGGCTTTGCTCCTTACAATGTGGAGTTGCTTTCTCAGTTTGACTTCAATTTCTTGCCTGGTTTATGTACTTCTTAGTATGGTATGTTTCCTTGGTATTTCCTATTTTACTCATGAGCATTTAGTTGTTTTTTATTTCAATGCCTCGTCTTCTATTACAGTCGTTTAATTTGATTATTGGATGGAAATGATGTTGATATCAGATCTCCTCAATTGGCATGGTTGTGGTGTTATAGGAAACAGGATCTGAGAGAAATTTGTAGGAACTTTCAAAGGAATATAGTTTAGTGTTTATATTTTTTGCAATTTTGATTTCAAGTTTCTATGAGATTTTAATTTTTAAGTAGAGTTCTTATTTGGCATGTTTGTGGTGTTACAGGAAACAGGATCTGAGACAAATTTGAAGAAACTTTGAAAGGAATATGGGTTAAGTGTTTATGTTTTTGCAATTCTGATTTCAGATTTCTTTTATTATAATCTGAATATGTAGTTTAACATTTTTGAGGTCATTGATTTTTTGGGTGCAATACATCTTAATTCTAAGAAGAGGAGATTTGACTCTGTAAGTGCAGGTCTCGGATTGCTCCGCTCTCTCAGTGTAAGTACATCTCTGCATATCTTTATTTCCTCAATTATATTTGATTTTGTTATGTTAAGTTGCCAAATTAAAGATATTGCACTACCTTTTCGATACTACATTAAATTTGGAACATGCAAAACATTAAATTTTGAGTGTTAATTATTGAACAGATGCTGCATTTTAAATTTGTAAACATCCACAGTAATGGTTTGGGGCTTGATAGTTGTACCAAATCTCTTTTTCTTATTCCCATGTGCATGTCCATGTGTAGACCTTTTTGTAGCTTTCTAAGTTAGGGTTTTTCTTGATGTGTGCTTACGTGGTTTGGGATTACTTCCTTTGCATGCCTGGGTATTATATAAAGCTTTGCGCTTTCAGATTAAGGTAAAGTTTGATTATATCTTATAGTTAATTCCGATGCCCATCGCAAGGTGTATAATTTTTTTTCCATTACATTTGTGTGTTCTATATTGGGAGTAGCCTCTCCATAAATGGGGGTAAGGCTAGCCGACATTCACCTCTCCCAGACCCTGCGTAAAGCGGGAGCCTTGTGCACTGGGTACGACCTACGACCTACATTTGTGTGTTCTATAGAGGTCGCACTTGGTGCGATGGCAAGTGCCTTCGCCCATGAGCGGTAGGTCTCGGGTTCGAGACTTGGGAGCAGCCTCTCCATAAATGGGGGTAAGGCTAGCCGACATTCAGAGCCTTGTGCACTGGGTACGACCTTTTTTTTACACTTGTGTGTTCTATCAATTAAACTCCAGACCAACTACCAATCTCCTAAGTTCTTTAAATTCGGGTCTGTTACATGTTGTAGGAAATGGCATATTTTGAGATATTCTGCATCTTTCTTTCTTTAGTTCTTTACATTTGAAAGAGTGAGAATTATATTGTTGGGACTTTGGATTCTATTTTTATGTCCTAATTTGTGTGAGGATTGCTTGCCATCCATATAAGAATGTTACTAAAGTGTCAGGCAAAAGTCTTTATGTTTCAATCACAAACAAGTGCATGTATACATAGCAGAATTACACCAATTAATCTGTGGGAGGAAGGATATACAACATCGCATGAGATAAAGATAAAGAATCATAATTTGAAAATTTGGAAGCCACTACATACTCATTTCTTGTTGCTCTGTGTAAATGATGTTTTAAGAGCTTCTTGGTAGTCTAAATTTATAGTTCCATCCTTTTCAGCGGTATCCAATATGATAATGTGTTTTACTGCTCGGTATATTTCTTACTCATGGTCATTTTTCAGAGGCTATCAGAGCAGGGGCTGTCAATACTGGGTTCTATGCGGAGATCTCAAAGTTCATAGATTCGAAGAAAGAAAGGTATACTCATCTACCTGCACTGATCTAAAGCTTGATCTGTGAATAGTGTGTCTTGCATCTCTGAACATTTATGATATTTTTTTTTCGAAGTGGTCTATGTAGTTTCTCTGTGTATTTGCCAACACTTGCTATCTTTCTTAGAAATTAATGTCATAGCTTTGAGATTTATCACTGCTTTTGACCTAAACCTAAATGATTGTCCAAACTTTTATTGCTTTGTACATCTTTTTTGCTAGTAATGTTAGTTTACTAATTATCTAGGTTCTCAAATAAAGAATTACTTGGCTTGAAGCTGCTGATGAGGATCTTCGTCGGGAACTTCATGAATACCACAGTAAGTGCAATGGTGTAGAGCCGTGTGAAAGAGCTTCTCAAGTATGTTTTACATGCTCTAGTGGAGATTGACGCTATTCTTTCATCTTGTTTCTTTCAAGTACTAATATATATGATTTTGACTTGTACCTTGTGTTGGTTTCTTATTTCACTTTGTAAACTACATATATTCAGCTAGAAAGATACATTTACAAATCTAAAACTTCATTTTGCAGGATGGTAGCCCCTGCTTTGTCAAAAGCAATGGCCTAAAAAGGAGTTTGTTAAGTTTAGAATTGGCTGGCTATCAAATGGGTGAAGCGATAACAGGTATCGCTTATATATGGTTTAGGACTTTGTCAACAACATTTTCTTTTCGCAATTAAATCATATGCAATTATGCAAGTTGTGTTATTGTTTTCGCAAATAGGCTATTAGCTCACGTGTATTGATAGTGTTGGGAAGTTCATAAGTCGAGCTATTCTATATATGGTACAATTTCCTATCTTAGCAGGTGATTCCCAGGAAATTGATGAAGTAGCAAAGGAGTGGGAGCACAACCTTCTGCAAAATATGATGGACAGAGTTGCATGAATTGAATAAACGTCTACAACAAAAAGAGGTGTCATTTGCGCGTGTAGATTGTTTTGTTTTAAATCAAAATCACATTAATGTCATCACAGAGTTTATGTGTAACTTTGCATTTGACGCTTGTGCAGTCGGAGATGAAATTTTTTTAAGGGTCCGACACTGTGGCACTCGAGCAGCATTTTTGAAAGAAAATTTTGGAACTAGAAGATGAGAAAAGAACTGTGCAGGTTCACTTAAAACCTTAATATTTGATGTTCTTATTCTTGAGAGAACTGATATTCACTTAAAACCTTTATAATTTTAGTTGGGGATAGAACATGTAAAATTCTAGTTGTTTTTATATATAATGGTTGTGAATATCTTTGTAAATCTCTATTAATTAATGAAACCGTCTTTGTCAACCAAAAGAGGGTGAAAAGACTACCTAGTCTTCTATCACACAATAAAAATGATGGGCAATAATATAATTTCACAGGTCTAAATTTTACTGTTTTTATTGAAGCTTCACTTACGTGTGATGTTAAAATATCTCCTATATTTAAAAAAAAATCTCGCTCCCCCCACGTTCTCCCCCCCCCCTCTCTCCCTCTCTCTCTTCATTTTCCAAAAAGTTATGTTTATACACACAAAGTGTGTTGGCAAATGCTAGTTGTAATATTATAGATGCTTGTGGTTGTGGGTTGTTTTAATTTTATGAAAAAATAATTTTTTGTTTACCTTCAATCTCAATTTGTAGGTGATGTCGGTTTTTAATTTATTTATTTTTAAATAGTTGACAGCACAATAACAATAAATGTGCTAACATGGGTGGCTGTAGTCGTCTAACAACTTCATCAGAATTGGGCACCAAAGGACCTTTATTTGTGCTTACACTTTTCAGCACAACATACCTTATTGTGTTCTTTGATCAAAGGCAACGCCTATGGAGGGCACAAAAAGAAATATAGTTGCTGCACTATTGCTATTAGTCTATGGGCACAATTGTTGGTGCTCTTTGACCTCAAAAGGCAAAAATAATTTATTGTGTAGTGCCCATATTTTCTGTAGCGTTCCTAATCTAACGGGGATTTAGACTGCAAAAAATTAACCTTTTGACCGACCAAATCAGTATGGATTTGGTCCAGAGATATCAATGGAAAGTTTGAAATGTCATTTTCAACTTTGTAGTAGGAACTTTTCTCCAAAACATAATCTTTACTAACCTAACGTCCAAACACTCTGAAAGCATCAATCTACCAACACTGCTCAATCTGCCTTCATTTAATTGACACGATCAAATGGCTAAGAATTAAGGGTTGAGAATTTGATACAACTAACTTGAATGACTTGTGAATCTACTCCAATTTGAAACACTTCAAAAAATCACTTTTCAAGCAAAGTAAATTTCGTATGTCTTAAATCGAAACGTAAAAGAAAAATCAAAATTCTCCCAAAATCAACTTTGGGTACAACTTTGGGTATATATAGTGATCCAGCTAATTGTGCCTACATCCAATTCGGTGATCTTCTTTGAAAAATTTCACTAGAAGATAGTAAGAATAACTTTGGGTACAACAATAACCCCCTAACCCCTTCAAACCATCGATCCTAAATCTCTCTCACACCCTTCGGCTCAAAACACTTTGATGCCCCTTCTCTGTTCGTTCCAATTTTATAGGACGTCCCGAAGTGACCACTTTGATCTTGATGCCCCTTCAACTTAAGCAAGAGAAATAATTTAATGAGTGGACGAGAACGACACCCCATTTTGCAGCAGGAAAAAAGGAAAAACCGCAACTTGATCCCGTTTCCTTGGTAACGAAGGAGAAAGTACTCGAACATGTATGACCACGTTACCAAAGAAACATGTGAAAACACTCGATAGTACCAAGGTTGAAAAAGACAGGAGCAGGGGCAACAGATTTTTTTGTTTTGTTCCAAATATGCTGCAGTACAGAAGGCAGAAGAATCGTATAGCATTTAACAAGACGTTTTTACTCTCAAAAATTTTCAATACGTACACTTTCTTCTCTTCTCCCTCAATCTTCTAGAAGATAATGTACAATTCCCATTTATGGATCCTTCTTCTTCAGTGTTCGGAGAAGAGGAAAAGTAAAAAGGTTAAATCAGGACACCTGTTCGTCTGCACCAACTCTCCGTTACATTGGACACCCCAAACAAACCAGTCTGCGAAAAAACGAGGGTAGGAGCTGAGGTTGAAGAAGACGGTGCATTGTACACTACAGCACTAGCTGGTGCCATCAAAACTGCCTTGTGCACTCTGTCGTCTTTTCTCTCGCCAATTCTCTCCCCACATCTTAGCCTCAGCAACCGCTCGTTCCCTATCCAACATCCTTGCAGTTTCCTTTGGGGACTCATCCTTCTCGGAACCATCTAACCCCCAGCTCCGTCCGGATCCTCCCCCTTCCTCATTTTTCAATATCCTTCCACCATCCCTATGCCTTTTCTCATTTTTTTCTCCCGAACCTCTGTGGCCATTACCTGAAGCTGAGTTAGGGTCATAAGAGTGGTTGGCTAGGTACGACAGAGCAGTAACCACATCCCCAATGAGAGGTCGTGTGGCAGCCTGTTCCTGGATGCACATGGATGCCACGGCTAGAGCTTGGTAGAGACCCCGCATAGGATACCGACCCTGCAGTCTTGGGTCTGCCAATTTCGAGAACTTCCTTCGATCATTGAACAATGGACGTGCCTGCATAGACATAAAACCACTGCCATTTAATTATTGCACAAATATAGAACCCATGCTTGCGAGACCCACAAGTCCTGCACAACAAGAAGATAAGTTTCTTCGAGCATTTCTACTACAAGAAACAAAGTGAAAATTACCCAAGTTATAAGGTTCTGTTCTCCATGGGGCCGGTCGCTATCTATAGCCTTACGTCCAGTAATCAGCTCCAGAAACACTACCCCAAAACTGTATACGTCTGACTTTACTGTCAATTGACCAGTCATTGCATATTCAGGAGCACAATAACCGTAAGTGCCCATAACTCTTGTGGACACATGGGACTTGTCTCCGGTGGGACCAAGCTTTGCAAGCCCAAAATCTGAAAGCTTAGGGTGAAATTCTTCTTCCAGCAATATGTTGGATGATTTGAAGTCCCTGTAAATAACTGGAGGGTTTGCCTCGTCGTGCAGGTATTCCAATCCTTTGGCTGCACCGGAAGCTATTTTCATTCGTGTGTTCCAATCCAATGGTTCCTTATCAGGTGGAAGATCTGCAGAGGGATCAACAAACCATTATAGGTGATTCATTAACAATCACTTGGATTAACTGTTAGGGAAACTAATGGTCCAATAACACAGGAAAAACAGAAGTTGCATGCACTGTGTTAATAATTTATCAAGTCATCAAATTTTATTTGGAGACAATGCCCCCGAAAGGAAATGTTTCTTTTTTCCTTTTCTCCATTTTACCGTGGGTTTTTTTGATATAAGAAAATACTTCTATTACCGTATGCAAAACATCAAAATTCACCATTCGTTCCAATTCTGTAAATATATCCCTTCAAGGTTGAAAAATCACTTCAGCGTAGCATGCATCAAATGTATTGGTCATATTTGCAGAACAGCAAGTGTTCATATATAACATAACTGAAAACTACAAGGTGATTTTCCATGATCACTATCCACTAGCTGACATTAATGGAAGAAATTATAAAGTAAAAAGTTCCTAATTGGAGAAACAGACAAAAAGCCAAGAGAAGAAGGGGAAACGAAGAGGAAAAGTTACCGTGAAGGTGATCTTCCAATGATCCTAAGGGCATAAATTCATAAACAAGAAGCCGCTGGTCTCCATCAGCACAGTACCCAATAAGATTCACTAGATTAGGGTGATGCAGAAGACTGAGCATGAGAACCTCAACAAGAAATTCTCTGTTGCCCTGAAGTCCATTCCTATCCAATTGTTTAACAGCAACCACCTGTGAATGGTGATACGAAGTCAAGAATTCAAAATCGCCTCAACCATGCCTGAAGTTAACTCTGCGAAATCGTTCTGCAGAGCAATGACCTTTTCGAAATGTAATAATTAACGATGGATATCATAAACATCCAATAACCTTGGTGTCTTACATGGAGAGATGGACACGATACGGAATCAAGAATTATTGCCCTCTAAATACTGTATGGAATTTAACAACCATCATTATGAGTAATGATGTTGATACGTAAGTCTACAATTCTCGCTCACGATATAGCAGTGCCGTTATTTAGTTCTCATTATTGTTGAAATCAAAAAACAAAATATAGCATTCTTGATAGCCATACAGTTACACCATCTAATATGCTAATATTCGTTTCAATTCAAATACTCATCCTGTAATTCCTGTTCTCCGTATAAATAATAGATCGTGCAACAGCAAAAGAACTACCTGACCAGTGCTTTCGAGTTGCCCCTTGTATACACGCCCAAATCCCCCTTCCCCTATGAAAGACTCTGGCCTGAAGTTCTTTGTTGCAGTCGCGAGTTCACGGAAAGTGAAAGTTTGAGCAGCAATTTGCCCCCCCGGTACAACATCTTTGGGCTCAGGCAATTTGGGCAGCTCCCCCCTGGATCCTCCATTGCTTCTTGATCTCAGTCTGTCTACTCCTGCATATACGACCATATCAAATTACTACAGATCCCCAAGTATCAATGATCATCAACCATCTGAGTCTCAACTCCAAATCCTTGATCAAATAGGACATTGAGTTAAGCTAAACACCGGAAACCGAAAATCAATTGGATTTGCAAAAAAAACTCAATAAACCATAACCCCAATACGAAAAAAAGTATTACGCAAATTCGAAATTGACATCTTCTAAACTATAGAAAGCACAACTGTACTAAATTCAGTTATACTGTAATCAGTTGGATCAAATTATGAATATCTATCTTAGTTCTTCAATTAATTATGAAACAATCCACAGCTTTGGACACCGTTGATTATCAATCAGATTGATCTTGAGAAATCAAAGTTATCATGAGATCCAATTTTTACAAAAGAAAGACACATTCTTTTATGTCAATGAATTGTGGGGTCTACCTAAAACCTCTCAAATTTAGAGCTCACAAACTCAATGAAGTAATCAATCATGTTGTAACACACACACCCAAATGACTAAAACAAACAATTTAAATCAGGAAAAAAAAACCCAGATCAGATCGAGCAATAACACATTTAAATTACCAAACAATAAGGATTGATAAACAAAAGCAATCAAGAACTCACCAGAAGGCAATCTGGAAATGTTATTAGAGACCGTTGGTTGAACCTGCTTTCTGTTATCAATTTCTGCCGCTGGATTGTTCAGCTTCTCCTCCTCCTTCGAATCGAAACAAGGAAAACAACCCATTTCCCCAAATCCAATTAAAACCTTATTTTAATTGTTTCCCAATACAAAAGATTGAAACTTTATTAAA